CAAAAGAGCAAGGCTGGGATTTTTCATGGCCCTTTCCCTCCTATACCAAATTAACAAACTTTGCACCAAAGTCATGAACATTCAGCCAAGCATTACTCAAACGATCACAAGCATGGTGCTGATATAGTTGGGGAAAGGCTCGTGTCAGGCAAAGAGAAGTGTCCGGATTGGCTCCATCCCATGAAAGGGTGGCGACGCTACACTAAACAGTGTAAGGTGCACACAGTGTGACCTAGGGCTGAGTTCACAAATGCACATCCATCCCTTGACAAATACAACATCAGGCATTCACTTGAATGTACAAAACCACCACCACAGGTCTAATGCCACAGGCAGTTGGCACATCTCACCAGACACCACCTTCAATACAACCCCTTTTCTGTCCATGCACCCAGCTTTCAAGGGCATGATTCAGACATCCACTGGTCCTTTGTGTGGTGGCATGAGCCTGAATCCCACTCCTCCATTACACGGTGGGGGGAAAAATCTGAAAGCACAAGTATCCCTCACTTTACGCTGATGTGCTTAGCTAGTTTTCCACCCCAGGCATCCTCTGTGCCCCTGGGGCACCCAAGAAGCCTGGCCTAGGCCATATAGCAAAAGGTGAATGGACTTAAACTGTCTGTCTAGAGGCATTAGAAGGAGGTTGCTTCATGGAAAAGAGCCTGCGGGTTGAAAGGCAATGCTGACTGTAGACCTCCTCCCCCCTCCTGCAGTGGAAACTGCTTATGGGTCGGGGGGGGGGGGAACCAGGTAGAGTTCAGGTTTTAAAGAGCAAAAACCAAGACCAAAAAAACAAAACCAACAGCCTAATGGTGTTTTTTTTTACTGATTTTCTAATTTTAAACAAACAGTTGCTATAATGAACTAGGCTCTCAGGTCTGAACAGAGAGAAGAATGATCACCAAGCATATAAATAGTTGGGTTGGCATCAGTCCTGGAAAGGGGTGGGGGAGAGGACCATGGAATGTCCTCTGAGAGCACAAACAAAAGTGTGCAAATGCTGGGGTGTTTAAGGTTGACCGGCCCCATAGGCAAACTCCCCATGCACACCAAGAGCTTCCCCAGCCCTGCCCCTGCTGAATGGAGCAGAAGGGTGATGGCTCGTGTTAAGGCTGACACCAGCCAAGCTCCAGAATTCTTAGCCCCCCCCCCCAATCCAAAAGCAGCACAACTGGCCACGATCACTGGATTTTGAACTGACATACGAACAGGAGGAGCTCAAGGATGACTTCTGTGGTCCAACCTCCCCTTCCCCCTCCCCACTTCGAAACAGAGATGGCAGCAAGGTCTCTGCTCATAAGTGCCTCATTTGGCACAGCAAGGGCTCTCTGTCTTTCTTATCCCTGCTTTCACCCTTGAAGCTGAATGGATGCGTTGCGCAGGTATCTGAAAGAAGATTATCCATTCTTGGCCACCGTCTTCCGTCTTCCCTCTCTCCTCCTCTCATTTTCAGAGTTATGTGACCTTGAGAACGCCACTGAAGGACGCCTGTTTCCATTGGGGAAGAGACTTGTATGAATCACAGGCTTCTTCAACACAATGAAGGCACAACCTGTCCTTGTGGCTGATTAAAGCAATTCAGCTTCCTGCAACGGAACACCCAGCATCATCTTGTAGGAATAGGGGCTCTTAAAGATATGGGATTCCAGTCGACTCGCCTGAATCCCAAATCATTTCTCCTGATCTGTCAAAGGAGCCATGGAGCAGCTAGTTCCACTAAGGGAATAAGCCACGGATCAGATGCATAGGAGAAGGCAGAAGCAGAAGCCGTTGCAAATACAAGGAGGAATAGAAGCCATTTCAAACAGAGGTCAGTTTTTAAAAAGCAATCACATTTCGATAGCATTGTCAGGTGTACGTGGTGCTTCACATATAGGCTTTATGAGAATGCTATAAGTAGGCCAGTATGATATGTATAAGGGGTGTGTGTGTGTGTGTGTGAATGTGAATGTGTAGTTACTGTTGCCTAGGCCCTTCTCAATACACAAAACTCCCTTTCTATAGAAAACCAGCATGACAGATATGAGAGATCTAGTCCAGGCATACTCACCTGGCTGGTTCTGAATTTACTTGGCAGGGAGCAGAGAAACATATGGAGACTTCCCTGCCCCAAAGTCCAAAAACAGCTTCACTGCCTCTATGGGTGCTTGAACATAATGGGGCCTAAGTCATCTTGGCAACAGAAAGGGGGGGCCTCCTTAGCACAGATAACTTGGGTTAAAAGCTGAACTTTTAATGATGCTCTTGGGCAAAGGCACTTTTGATAAGCGTTTGTTCATCACTACAAAAGTCTTTCCTAGCAAAAATCCTACAAATCTGCCTCAAATTTCACTGAAGGAAAAATCTGGTAATGAGATTACAGACTGCACTCTTTGGGAGATGGAGAACTCAAAGAGGGACCCGAGAGAAGAATCATAAAAGATAGGGAAGACTGAGGTTTCAGCGGCTGCCTTGTACCAACAGCACAGATTACATTTGGAACTGCAGTCAGAACTCCGTGTCACCCCATCCATCATGGGCAGCAACAGAGATGGAAGTTAAATAATAAAATACACAGCTGTCCACTGCCTCAGGCATGCTGGACACTCACAAAAGTTTTCCAGCACCAGCTCAATGCAGGGAGCATGCGGGAGTGTGAAATCTGAAGTGGACCCGGATGCTGGGCTTAAGAAAGTCTCACACCCCCATTGCAGAGAGAACAGCTGCATCCAGCCTGGGACTTCCCATGAAATGAAGGTGTTTGTAACATGTGCACACCCCATGGCTGATTTACTTGCCTCTAACTGCCACCTGCTTATGGGCATCTACAAATGTATTAGGGGAATGGGTTCATTTTGGTCTTTAGGATCCAAGTGTTGACCTTACTGAGGACAGTGCTGCATCTGGGTTTATGAATGTTCAAAGGTGGTCACTGTAGGTGTCACACCACAGAACCCTTAAACTAAAGGGTCAGTCGCTACAGAATCAGGCCAAGGAGCAGGATTCTCAGTCCTTCTTCCCACTGCCCAGTACTTCTGCTTTGATGCCTTGAAAAGAAGAAAGCAGCTTCCTAGGTAGCAATTAGGGTTGCCAACTCTAGGTTGGGAGATTCCTGGAGATCTGGGGGTGTTGCCTATGGAGGATGGAGTCTGTCTGCTGCCTTGTTTGAGGAAGCAAAAAAAGCAAATGGGGGGGGGCAATTCAGGGCACTATATGGGGAGATGGTTACCTTGGAGGCAGGTGCGACGGTGGCAGGTTGAGACAGAGTGTAAGTGCTCAGGTTGGGAAGCAGAAGTCCAGAGGGGCACAGGAAGAACTACAGCACTTTCTCAGGAGCACAAGACTAGCTCCCAACATCTCCCAACTTACTTCCCAGGCCAGGAAATTAATGACATAACATCATCCTTGAACAGCGACCATGACACCAAGTCAGAAGAGGAGGTTCCAGAAAATTTGGGGCGGGTGGGACCTGTAGAGCCAATGGTGGCCTACGGCAGAGGAACCAGGTACAGGCCCTGACATCAACACAGATCTGTTGGTTGGGGCCCCAGTAGGTGGCACCCCTAAAACTAAAGCCCCCAGGTTGAGATTTCCTCAAACAACAATGATCTTCATCAACAACACCCTCACGGCACTTTTGTGCATTTTGCTCTGTGACAGATACCCCCAGCAGTGTGAACTTCCTGATAGGCACTGAGCTACAAACAACATGAAGAGCAAAGAAAAGCCTACTGATTTCAAAAGGTCTTGCTTCCAGGGAAGCAGGCCTTGAGTTTCAGCATAACATGTGCGGGGTGGGAGTCATTAAACACACTTTCTCTGCATGTTGAACAATGTCTTTTTTCTTTTTTAAAAAAGTAACAATCAATAATCAGAAAGAAAAACACAAAGTCGTCAAAAACGAGCCTGCACAGACCCCCCAAAAATTGATTTTAGAAATTAGCATTGCTTATTTGCTACCCTTTGCAAAGCACAACACTCCATCGGCATCACTGGCCATGCACATCTTAATGTTCTGGGATTTCCTTACAAGCAGGCAGAGCCTACCTAGTGCAAACAGTAGGTGACTGGCAAACCTACAGGCATTAGGAATGTCTTTTTAACCTGGGATCGCACTGCCCATTTTAAATGCAGATTTCAAGCAAAAACAAAGCCAGTAAACACAATTCTTGCATGGGGATCCATACCAGAAGAGGGAGGGGTTAGGATAACCCCCCACACCTTATAGCAAGCAACATCTGCTTTCAACAAATCCCCCAAACTTGTTATTGTGAAAATGATTTGAATAAGAAGAGGCCTCCAAATATCTTAGCCGACAGTGAGCCAACAGAATCAGCTTCTCCAGGTTGTGGAAGTTGTCAGGGAGGTAGTTGTACTGACATACCATCCATTTCACACGACCTTGAACTTTGAATCTGAGAGATGTGGCGCCACCACCCAGCTCTAGCCAAAGGAGTGAACTGCAAGAGCAGCTATACCAACAAGAAAGCTTCTCAACCACAATAGGCCTGACTTAGTCAGATGACAGCCCTGACAAATGCTTCCAAATCAGACTTGCCTACAGGCTGGGGACTCTGCTTTGCCTATTTCTTCTCCAGACCTTGATTTTTTCACCTTAGTACCCACCTTTAATCAGATTGGGGATGGAGGAGATCTTTGCATCCCTTTGCCCAGAGACACTGTAGCAAAGTGGTAAAAAAAGATGTGACTCCTCCCACCAGCGTAATTCAAGCACCGTTAGCCAGGTTCCCGCATGCCACAGCTCAGCTTAACTTTCTGCTCTTTGTTGTCATGTATTTGGATCTTCCAGTAGCATCAGTCTCAAATTTTCACATTTCATCACACAGGTGTCTCCTCTTCAGCCCAGGATTTTGTTAACAAGAGAAGCCCACTGAACTGCTGCCGACAAATACCCACAAACAGAAACCAAGGCCAAAACCTCTCCAAAAGCCAACCAGATCGACTCTCAATCCATAATGAACTGCTTGCTGTAAGATATGATTCTGACATTGTCTTACCTGAAGAAGCCAGTAGCACCTTCTGTGGAACGTGGGGATGATTGAGGAATGGACGTAACAGCCATAGAGGCACTGGAAGACAGAGAAAGAGAGGAAAATAGGAGTTAGAGAGGTGTCAGAGAGAAACAGGGCTGCCTTCACCTTGATGCAATCACAATGGATCCAGTTGCTCTAGTTGACACTGCAGATGGAGAAGACCATAGCTCACTGTTAGAGCATCTGCTTGGCCTGCAGAAAGGGCCAGGTACAATCCTCAGCATCTCCAATTAGAAGGTCTTCAGATTGTAAGGGATCTGAAGCTTCTCAGGACTCTGGAGGGCCTCTGCCAGTAAGAACAGACAAGGCTAACCCTGTGCTAGCCAGGTTTCCCAAGTACTTACTGTGATTCGGCGGGGGACACAGACGTCTTTGCAGGATCATTCCCGCGGGGACAACAGACGCACCGCATCATGCCGTCGCCAGGAAGTGATGCCGGGCAACGCTCTGGCAATGGGGCTGGAAACTCGATGGCACCATCGAGTTTTCAGCCCCATTGCCAGAGCGTCGCCCAGCGTCACTTCCTGCCGACGGCATGGTGCGTTACAGGGAGGAATGGTCCGGTCGGGAAGCATGTTTCCCCCACCGGATCGCTAGCCCAAGGGTCTGACTCAGTACAAGTCAGCTTTGTGTACTCACGATGTGGGAGTTCACAAAGAGAATATGTGAGACCACCCCACCAAGCCCAACATTTCCTGTTTCGTTGCCTTTTCATCTTGGAACGTTCCCTACCAACATGGCCCAGTAATCACTTGGCTTTTGCAATCAATCAACAGGTGACCCAAATTCTGGCCCTTCAGTTCTTGACTTCGACACACCCTCTCATGGTAGAATGATTAGAGCTCTGGATATCTCCATTCTCTATTTCATAGCTGCCTGTACACATCAGAAGAATTAACCAAGGACTAATTACAGGGATTGCTCTCCACATGGTGTGAAAAAGAACAATTGCTGTTATGACTTCTGAAGCTGGCAATGTGGGTTCTGGCTCATAAACGTATTTGCCACAATAGCAGTGCAATCCTAAACAGAGTTATACCTGTCTAAACCCATTGATTTTTGTGGACTTAAAAGAATTAAATTCTTCTTAGTGGATTAGTCCTTAGGGTGACACAAGATTTTTTGTTGCCAGTTCTGTAACCCAGTGAGACCCACAGTGGCCAGCGAGATGCCCTGAAAAGCTCACAGGGAAGGAACGGGGGAGATGAAACTGTCCCTTTTCATTACCCTTGACTCATGGTAATCAGAGGTAGACTGCCTCTGGACATGGAGATTCAATTTTAAAATGGCACTGATAATAACTAATAACACACTGTAGATTCAGCAACCTCAGAGTCAGTTTGGTGCAGTGGTTAGGAGCGCAGACTTTAATCTGGGAGAACTGGGTTTGATTTCTCACTCCTCCACATGCAGCTGCTGGTGTGACTTTGAGTCAGTTACAAGTTCTTTCAGAGCTGTTCTCTCATGAGCAGTCCTCAAAGAGCTCTCTCAGCCCCACCTACCTCATAGGGTGTCTGTTGTGGGGAGGACAAGGGAAAGGAGATTGTAAGCTGCTCTGAGACTCCTTTAGGTAGTGAAGGATGGGGTATAAATCCAATCTCCTCTTACCTCCTCTACCAGAGAGGGTAAAAATTTCATATTCCCCCCCCCAACAGTCCATTGGACAATCATCAGCAGAGTGTCAGGGCTCCAGGCTCCATGGCATTAAAGATCCAGCCTTACTGCTTCCACCCTCAAAGGGAATACAATAAAACCAGCCACCCCCCCAAAAGAAGCTCCTTAAAAGTAATGGGTCAAAAACAGTCCACGTCCCCCTTTGAGCCAAGTTTGCTCACTGGTCTGAGCAATAAGTACAAGGTAATGCAGCTGCATTTTCAGTGCCACATGAAGTGGGCCCAGCAATATCTTTAAGGTTCCTTGACCAGTTCTCCTAAAAACAAGCAATCATGACCTCAGTTTGCAATAGCTTGTCACAGATGCTGAATACAAGTGGGAATCACAGAGACTTGCAAATTTAAATGCCAGAACCTGGAGTGAATCAGATTTTTCAATGGATTAACATTTGTACATGCAATTGTTCAGGGGAGTTGGGAGAAAAGACTGAAAACACAAGTAAAAATTAATTTAAAAGTTTCCTACGTGATTAAGACTGCAAATGCATTTCTTATTAAAAAAGCAATCCTGCCTTCATCCTCCTTTGTTACTAGAAATATTTGAAAAGAAAAAAAAAATCTGCCCACAGAAATCTACTGCTCTCTGGGGAGAAAAACATAGCCAAGGCTGACTTGCTATTTTCCTGAGTGCAGGAAAGGATGAGTTCACACGTGAACAACCAGATATACCTCCCTCCAACTTGCACCCTGAAGTGCTACAGTCCAGAAAAGGCGGACTTTTGGGTGATGATGGGTACCGTAAAGCTGAACTGCTGCCTTTCTAGTTGCTCTTAAGAAATTGAAGTCTGAACAAAAAATGGAGGTGACCACCATGTATGGAAACGTGGGCATAAAGTTGGGCTGTGGGTGAGCAAGTTTCACCTCTTACCTTCCTGGCAGGCTTCAGTCCACATTTTTTCCCTCACTCCAACCAGCTGTTGGGACCCTCACCTCTGTTCACTGCCATCTTGATACCTTCTCCCTTTTGTCCCAGTCTATCCTCGCAGCCATGTCAGCAAGATATGTATTAGTTTGGCCATCTTAAGACCCCCTTAATGAGAGGTGTGGAGGTTGCTAGACATGAAAATACATCTGGAATGATGGTGGGTATTGGAGTATTGGCTGCTGATACCACAGATACTCTCTGTCTCTGAGTGGATCTCTTCTGTGGCCAACAGTCAAGGGGCTAAGGGGGAAGATAGACAGATGGTCAGAGACTTCCTATCAAAAGGGGAAATTTGCTCTAGAATTACAGAGAAAAGTTTTTCTTTGTAATTCTAGAAGGGAAGCATAAGAACAGAAGAGCCCTGCTGGATCAGACCAACTGTCCATTTAGTCCATCATCCTCTCTCACACAGTGGCCAACCAGATCCTCTGGACAGCCAACAGCAGGGCATAGAGGCTGAGGCCCTCCCTTGATTTTGCCTCCCGGCTCTGGGATTGGGCTGCCTCTGAATGTTGAGGTTCCCCTCAGCCACCATGGTGAGTAGCCATTGATAGACTTATCCTCCATGAATCTATCTAATCCCCTTTTAAAAGTATTTATTCCTGTGGCCATCACTGAACCTTCTGGCACCAAATTCCACATCTGAATCATTCTCAGTGCAAAGTAGTATTTCCTTTTCTCCATCCTGAACCTACTTCCCATCAGTTTTATTGGGTGCCTTTAGGTTCTAGTATTTTGGGAGAAGGAGAAAATATTTCTTTGTCAACTCTCTCCACCCCACACATAATTTTATAAACCTCTATCATGTCCCCCATTAGTCGTCTCTTTCCTAAACATGAGAGACTGCTGTGGATTCCAAGTTATTACGTGGGGCTCTTTTCTTAATTCTGCCTCGGCAAGCAAGTTTAGCAACCTTCAGTTGCCAAAGCATTTTAAAATATTAACGCTATTAAGAGCTATATACACTGTAAATATTTTAAAACGAGCTGCTCTGTGTAAATATTAGCAACACCCGGATGCCATAAACCAGAGGATTACGATAAAGCAGTTTTCAGATAAAGTAGAACTTTTGCATCCTGCTTCTATGACTCTGAAATAAATACCCAAACTGAATAAGTTATGAGACTCTTCTGAAGATATTCACACACACCCCTCCCCTGGAGTTACTTATGGGCTGCTTAAGGGCTCCAGATCTCCCAAAGGCAGAAAGGATGCCATTCAGAATTATCCCTACACCTGGAAGTCTCGGCAGCAGTGCTGGCCAGAAACATCTTCACCACTCGGGGCAAGGGGAAGTATAGACCGAGTCCCTTCCTTTATTCATGTGATTATTTCCACCATTCCAAATGCTGGCAGGACATTTATCTCCAAAGCAGATGTGCATTTTTTTGCAATGGAGATCTGAGTCAGAGGTGTGCATTGCATGCAAAATAACATCAGTGCTTAGCTTAATTGCACATCAGGCACCCCATTCAAAAGCAGAGTTAGATGTCTCTCAAAGCAGCATCACACAATCCTGAGTCATTGCTGTGTATTGCCTGGGTATTATACAAACATGGTTTAACTGCACATTAGCTAGCACATCCAGTCACTGCCTTTTACCTACCTGGATCTGATGGGGCCTTCTTGGGACATTGCATCAGTGAATCTGTGATTTCTTAATGTAACAGCAGAAAATCACAGAGATATATACACGTACTTTTGGGGCCACCTCTCCTGGTATACCCCCAGAAGAGTGTTACACTCAGGAGATCAGAACTTACTGGTGGTCCCGAGCCTGAGAGACATCCGGTTGTCCTTGACCAGAGTCAAGGCTTTCTCTGCCCTGGCTCCAACCTGATGGAACTCTCTGCTGAGTAACATCCATACCCTGCGGGACATATTACAGTTCTGCAGGGCGTGCAAGGCAGAGATGTATCACCACATGTTCGGTTGAAGACAGCAACGGCTCCATCTTGGCACTCCCACCCCCTTCATCTCTTCCCATGAGGCAGTGGTGCTGTTAGGATTTTAGCACCATCTTTGTAAACTGGACTACTATGTTTTTACTGTTTTACTCAGATTTAACTTGTTTTACTTGATATTTAAATGATTGTGTTGTACACCACACTGAGCCCAGTCCCACTGGGGAGGGCAGTTGCTAAACCCAACAAATAAATAAACAAATAAATAAAAACTATCCCTACTTTTTGGTCAGTCTGAGAGATATGCACCACCATTCGTACTCCTGCCATTTGGCTCCTGGGGCCTCAATGCCATACTTTCCTGCTTCCACACATTGCCTCCCTGCAATCATCCCACATTGATAAGTCAAATTCACGGGCATCAACTTATGTTTCCGGAAGACTTTAACATTCTCTTGCCTTCCTTGCTGACATCAGACAGGACAGAACTCATGCTGACAAGACCCAAATCCTCCTGTATTGTTTGAAAATTTT